TCACCTAATTTCCTACTTCCCTGCTTCTGTGCATGTATTCCCTCAGCTTTGAGTACATTTCCTTTTTTAATGCCGCTACCTTTACAAATTAATCAGTGTTTTGCTTCCACTGGTTTTACCCTAAAGATATTGTGACTTTCTTAGGAAATGACTTATATTATTTCTGATGTAATTGTAAACACTGTTTTCAACAGATTGATAAAGAATTGGCTAGCGGCGAATACTTTTTGAAGGCGCATCAGAAGAAGCGACAGAAGATGGAGGCAATAAAGGTAAGGCTCTTTATGTCTAGCTCACAGCATTAATAGCAATATCATAGACACTTGAATTCTTATTTAACTATGACTTGTGTTTCACTAATGTACTTTTTCTTAATAATATAGGCTAAACAAGCAGAAGCTCTCAGTAAGAGACAAGAGGAAAGAAACAAAGCTTTTATTCCACCTAAAGAAAAACCAGTTGTGAAACTTAAGGAAGGTAATGCTTGTTTTTAACTCTTGATATGGTATAAAGTCTACTGTCTATGAAAAGTGAACCCATAGTGTGAATTTGTCTGAATCTCTAAAAGTTCTTTCAGCATTTTATTAATTACTGATCGTAGGGACAAAAGGTGATTTATACTTCAGTAGCAACTAATACCTATTTCAGAGTAACAGTCCTCCCCTAACCTCTGACCTGTGCTTGGGAAAGATACTTTGTTGAGAAAGATGTAAACCGGGAGCAGTAAGATCCCTGAGCTCTACTATCATGCCTCTCAAAGAGGGCTTATCAGAAGTTGTACTTTTCTTTTATGTGATCAGTGGCTTAAAGTTTGGCTTCTGTGTTAACATAGATTTCTCATCACCTTGGACTAAAGGATGCTGACAAAATTACCACAGGAAGTAAAAGAAAATACTCTTTGCCCTTTCTTCTCCATTTCTAGCCTCATTCTGATATATCCTCTTCCCTTTTGCATTTTTTCCTCTGTGGTAACACTTGTACTCCTCCTAAAGTAACTTTCCAAAGTGAACATTGGCACATTGAGGGGAAGGGGCTCAACAGCAATGTTGTCCATGAGCTATTGTCAGAAACAGATGTAACACATTATTATCTTACATTGCTTTAGTGTTAATAGCATTAACAATGGTTATGTAAAAAATGTCATAAACATAATTTCCAGTTTGTATAATGTGTCAATTAAGTATTTTGAAGGCACTCAATAGCTAGTCAACCTGGGTCTATAATGATTAAGAATGTAAAAAGTGGAGGCCTTACACCTCTGTGCTCCTCAAGTTGCTGGATAGTTTGATGAGAAAAAATTGGGTTTTTTTTCAGTGCTTCCTTTCTCTGTTTTGTTCACACTTTTGGCATTGATTAGATGGTTGGGTTCTATTAGGAGGACCTTTAGATACTCTCAGATAATTGTCTTTATTATCAAAATCTTGTTAAATAAAATACTGCTAGTCATTCATTAAATTAAGTTTTGGTTTTGATAGATCTGACCTGTAGTTTTGTGGTTAG